GCAGCACAGGGCAGCCCCAGCCACAGACAGCAGAGAGGAGGAAACGACGGATGCCCATCTTTTTTCATCTTTCTCTGCTCCCCCGTCTCTCACCAGCTCTCGCGCTCCGTATTCCTTCTCCACTTTCTTCTTCAGCTGCTTGAAGCAGTCCTCCATCCGGTCGTGGAAAGGTCGGAGGTCATCCGTCACCCGTTTCCCGTGGAGACGGATTCCAGCCCGCAGGAGGGGAGTCTAGGGCAGAGAAGGAGGGAGACTCGAGTCACCGTCCAATCAGAGCAGGAATCCAGAAATACCCCCTGGCCAATCAGGGCTCAGTGTGACGGTTTGGCCACTGTACCTGCCAGGCGATGAGGTCCTTCAGGCGGCTCAGCTTGTCTCTGTCCTCAGGGTGCTGCTGGACATATTCATCCGTGAAAAATGCCTGGGGAGCAGCAAGGGAGAGGTTATGAGTTAGGGACAGGGGGATTGTGGGAGATTGAGGCAGCAGCGGGAGCAATGGAGACAGAGGGACGGTGAGAGAGACTTATGGACAGACAGAAAGAGAAACAGAGACAGATCCAGGACCACACCAACCTTCTCGTACTTGGCGAATCCGCCCATGACAGCAGGGTCCACGATGCCATTGAGCAGCATGGAGAGGGGGTTGATGGGAAGGCTGTCGTCACCCTGGTACTGGTTGATCATGGTGAGGATCTTCTCATTGGTGGTCTCCATCGTCTCGATGGCATTCTCCAGCGGGCTGATTGTGGTCTGCTCACACAGACAGAAGGGCACACAGCGAGAGAGTCATGCATGCTGACCACTAGGACCCTCTCTGCCAGCTGGACATTCCCACTCAATTAACTGAGTTAATATGGTGCCTTTCAGCCCCTAAAAGCCCAAGGTACTTCACACTGGAGGGGACCCTCACTGAAGTACAGCCTCACCTGGGTGACTCTATTCTGTACCTGCAGCCCAAAGACACACAGATCAGGGGAGGAGAGAGAAACTGGACAAGACCAGAGTGGGGTTCAGTCCTCCTGCAGCCCCACGACACACAGATCAGGGGAGGAGAGAGAAACTGGACAAGACCAGAGTGGGGTTCAGCCTGGACACCCGGGTGACACCCCTACTCTTACAATCAGCCCTGGGATCAATGAGTTAATAATGACTAAATCACTCCAAGAGGCAGACAGTGAGACACCAGATCATACAGGCAGGGACAGGCTGCGACACAGGTACTCACGTGGGTCATTTCTTTAACGTCGAACCACCGCAGGATGCCAGGGAGCTTGTAGCTGGTGAAGAAGGTGGTTCGCTCAATCCACATGGACTGAGAGAGAGGGAGAGAGACAGGAAGAGAGCAAGTGTCAGTGTGTGTCTGTACAGTATCTTACAGTGTATCGGTACAGTGTACACACACATTGAGACACTGTCCGGACACACACACTGAGAGATGCTCAGACACTGAGGCACAGATGCTGCCCAGCGTCAACTCACTGCGAATTCGTTGTTGGGGTCCACAGAGCCCTTGCGCACCGGGCGGGAGTAATGGAATCGCTGCACGTAGCTGGACTTGTAGAAGCTGCAGGAGTGAGAGAGACAGGGAGTGAGAAGAGTGCACAGAGAGTGTGCACACCGCTGTGACTGGTGGGGCTGGTGCCGAGCTCCATGCCTTAGCTCACTTCTGTACGCAGGGTCTGGGTACACCTGAGTACTGAGTACACCTCTACTGTAATAATGTGCTCAGTGTGTGGTTCTGGGCCCTTGATGATCTGCTTGGGTCAGTGTGGTCAGTGTGTGGTCAGTGTGAGTGTCTCTGCGTACTTGATGTTCTGGTCTGGTCAGTGTGGTCAGTGTGAGTGATTCTGTGCCCTTGATGATCTGGTCTGGTCAGTGTG